CGCAATACTCATTGTATCAAATGCGGATTATGCTGCTTTAGTAATGTTACATTACAATCGTATTTGTTGTATTATTATTATTTGCGGTTATTTGACATGAGATGCTCTATTATCGTTCCTTTGGTGGTCGAATAACAACATTCATATATTATTTGGACGTCTTTTATGTATTCAATCGTCGTGTCTTAGCAAGTTAACAGCGCCACCTACCGGTTGGTAGTGTATACTAAATCACAATTCGTAATTCATCATGTAAAGCTACGTGAGCAAATCTACGCTACGAGTACCGGAAGAGAATACATCACTAGGGCATATCACATATACTTTACGTAAGAACCTTCCGCTATACAGTGCCCCTACACCTCCGCACCCACCACCATAGCGTATAACTCCGCTACTACATGTTGTTGAAGATGAACAGCTTTCGACTACAAGTACTCGTGTTGACAGTTCTAAAGCTGTCCAAATTTCAAAACTTTTGTCCCCATCACTTATACAATCATGCTCGTTGTCATTGACAACGGAGTAGATCTCACCCGATAAAGCAGTGCCTCCTTATCTGCCTCTATATCAGAACGATTCCAAGCGTAGTATGTTTGTGATCGACAGTTTTGAAGTCAAATACCACAAAAGGATATATTTTAACAAAATAATATGATTAGAAAAAAATATATGGTATATATGAGAGTGTTTAATCAGTGGTAGTTAGATTTCGTGTTTTTGCGTGGTCTGTCAACGGCACACAGATTTGTATGCAAATGCACCCCGTTTCACAGCTTCTTTGGCGGTGAGAGGTAAACTCTAATTCTTCCGACTTGGTATTGTTGTTGTCCCGGTGATCGTACGCCATGAACGTAAGACAGAGAAAAACACAAGCACTGGATTTGCTGTATATACTCATTTGTATTATTTAGTTGTTATTTTCTTATTTTATTAATACTCCTATATATGATTAACCTGTGTGTTCAATCAAATATCGGTTTTCGAAAAAAAAATCATCATCCTATGAGCCATTCGCTCATTATACAGTCGGCGTTCTTTTCTTAAACTCAAAACAAATAACTGTTTGCCCACATTTCTTTTCCTTTTTCGGAGATATTGATCAAAATAAAAGCGTTTGGACGATAGGCGGCGCTGTTCTACACACGACTTCCGTACGAACAACACACAATTGTATTCAGTAGCATTATACGAAAGCACAGTGTATACAATTGCGAAAATGCGCAGAACATATGCGCAGTGTACGAAAATACGATTGTTGCGACTGATATACAATATATGTTAGAGCAATACGTAATAGAGGCAACCTTCTACTATGAGCAAAGCCGACCACTGGCGACCGAACAGTGTAACCCGATTTGAGCCATTTTCACATCGTTCAGTTACAAGATACGACTTTGTAAAACTTTGTAAAGAAAGCAAAAAGTTTTAGAAAAGTTTTTTGAGAGGTCATTGATTAAAATTAAAAGAGACGGCGTAAGTGTCTTCGCTGTATATTGAAATATGAATAATTCATGAGTTATATATTTTCAATTTGATGCGTTATACCAAGTAACCTTCTCAGTGCGACGCGTAACTTCTTCTTTCCGCGTTTGACAATTGTCGACCCGCCAATTTTACATATTCGCGACTTTTACGTTACTTACGTAGTTGTCTATAAATGGTTTAACTATTTTACTATTTCAAACTTTCCGTTCTTTGTTCTCCTGTTACGTTCGCCGGGGTCGTTGACAGGCATGGGGTGCGAATGTATCAGAGGGAAATTTCCAAAGATGTCATTTTTTCAGAAATGACAACCAATCGTTCCGCTCGCGTCAATTTGCAATGCATGGTGACGAGTAGTCGAGTTAGCATGAAGTTTGGGTGCCGTTCTTGTCAGTGACATCAGTTTATAGTATAGTGTCCAACTCAAAGAAGGATAACACTATTTTCACAATTTTTTCATATAATGACTGTCTCGGACGGTAAAGACTGGCTATTAAGGCCGGTTAGTATTACAAAGACATTATACACGCCATGAGTCACAAAGCGATCAACGGTTTTGAGAACAACAAGCCATCATAGAACACGCTTAGACGACGCAAGCGAGCCACGTGGTAGATACTTAGTTGGACCGAAGACCACGTGCCGGGCATTAACCCAAAATACCTGTTAAAATCCATTCATATTCTAATAATAGGAAAATTATATATATGAACGTTGAAAAGTAAATATTTTTCAATTTCTCACCAATTTTAACCACTTTTCCCCAGCCCATTTCGACAGAAAGTGAACTTTTATGTGTCTTTTATTGGCTTCTCATAGAATTTCTATGTAAAAAGCGCGCATTTTGTTTCCAGCGAGGCATTTCAACTTTTCGCTCCCTTCTTCTCGTTCGAACCATCTGCCGTTTGGTGAAAAAACAACTTATTAATTGTTCTTTGTTATGCACAATTGTTGGTTTTCTTTACAGAAGAAACAAAGAGGCTTTTTGGGGTTTCAAGTATTTTCTGGCGTTGCCGCGCCTCATTTGCATAAATTATCTGGCTGCGGCCAGCAGATTGCGTTTCCTCTATATCATTCATTGTGTCAGTAAGTGCTCGATTTCTTTGTGTTTTTTGACAGGATCTTTGATGCATTTATCCTAGAAGCTTCGGGCAATGCTCTAAATAACTCGAAATATAGTAAAAACTAATTAGAAGCTATGTAAATGGGGCAACTTGGAGGATTTAGTCTTGGCAAGCATGGTGAACAAAGGCGTAAGGTGGATACAATAGCACTGGCAGTCCATATGATAGAAGCGAAGCGCTCCCTCAAAATTTCCCACCACCGTAGTGAATCTGGTAAAAAGGCCCTTGTTTAGACTCTATTCAAGCTGTGATTAATAAAATCACGGCGATGGAATTAAAATTATTTTCATAATCCGACTCACCGAAATGCGATATTGTAAGTGTGCTGGAGTGAAGCAGACGAAAGGATGGCGACTGTACTACCAAATATTCGGCTTGGTGGGATTTTTTAAATACGCCACAGGACCCGACAAAAAGGCATGTATTTGGCTTCTTTAATCTCCACTCGACTAATCTTGGAGGAGTTTTTCTCTTCATATCCCGAAATTTATTCTCTAAGCGCCGACCGAAAAAGTAATTCGAAATTGCCTGTAGTGCTGCTCTAAATAGGGGACAATATTCGAGGAAAAGGCACGACGTTCGCGGCGGGCCTGGCTATGCGAAAGACTAAGGCTCTTATCGGGTAGTAGTGTTACGAAGCTGGTCGATAATTTATGGCTGCAGCTGCATCGAGCTTCTAAAAACTATTGTATTTAGGGGTAAACACATAGAGTAACAGCCCGTGTATTGGGCTTGTATGCTGAATGGATGGTATTGAGACGAACGTACACCTGCAGCCCATGCATGCAAGCCAGCCACCCCAGTCAATTAACAGGGAATTAGATTCGTGTGTGACCAATCATTAGGAAAAGTTTTATCAAGTGGTATCCAACACCAACGAAGCACTTTAGATCTGCGTATTAATCTGTTTCTGACGCTATATTGTGTGCGAGTGAGCGCGATCGCATAGGTGTATCAACGCTGAGATTGGCTAGGTCGGTCCATTGTCAGTTACCCAGTTGTACATGTGTCCCGAACGCCCCGCACCCTTCCGATTTGATCATGTTTCATGAGACTAGGCCAACAAAGCAAAGCATATGGACCCATAAGCCACATATGTTTCATTTTTCTCGAATTTTCACACGAACTTCTCTGGCCGCTACTCGAGCGAGCACGACAAGAAGAAAGCGCGTAACACTTTGCCACATCTTCCCCTATTCAATGGTGAATGAATTAAAAGTTTTTCAAAGGCACATTTAGAAACTTCGAACCAATTAAAAGTTACTCTACTAGTTCGCCGCACTTGTTTCAGGGTGCCTCTTTGTTTCTGGCACGTTGTGAAGTCGAGCAGGAAGTACACTGGGACGAGAACGAAGGCGCATCCTGCAATGACAACCGGGGAATTCACTCAACGGAGGCACGTTAAGGTTGTTTTCTATATATTTTCTGCGGCCTATCGTGTGTGATGGAGGAAATACGCATATCAAACAGTATAATCGACGTACGCTCCCCTCACGCGTAGTCATACGGTACTGAATCTAACATAAATTGCATACGTCCGTTATTGACCTCCTTATCCGCAGCCACTACATCATCCCAACTTTCTTATAGTCACCTTCTTCTTTGCAGTTAACGCCAACGTTAATGGTAACCATTATAAGCGCGCGCGTTTTATTATGAAAGCATGCCCCATCTAAAAAATCGTGGGGGAATAAAAACAAAGCTGTTATTCAATTTGCGGAGGAAAGAGAGTTGAATAAAAAAAAGACGGAAATTGACTGGGAAATGGCGAAGTTAGTAGACTGGCAGGTTGCATAATAAATGAGAGACAAACGGCTCGTATGACGCCGCCAACTGGCACTGATCATGTATATATATATGAATATATATATATGTATATAACCTGGTCCTCGGGGGAAAACGGACTTATTGAGAATAATAAAGATTATAGTGAAATAAAATACAAACTGGTAAGAGGGGGTGTTAGTAATAATGAATACCCTGTAAGAGTCTTTTGTTCGCTCCATCCTCAAGTATTTTTATTGAGTTTTGTAAGAACTAATACATGTATAGCAGCAATATTTACGAACAATGCAAAGTTAAAATATTTGTGCTGGCAACAGCACTAGTATAATTTTCTTCAACTCAGACTATCATATATTGCACGAAATGTGGCGCATATATATATATATATATATATATATTTGTGTGTGACATATATGCAAAAGGACAATACATAATATAAATTCTCAAAACTATACTAAAGTTAGTATATAAGTTAAAGTTTCCATACTGGTAAAAGAAAACTACTAATGTAATGCAGCACGTATATAAAAATAAATTTGGAGAAAAAAGTTCTGGCGTGTTTCGCCGCAGATGGCTTAAATGTCTTTTTACAACGCATGTGCATATTTACGACGAGCTATTCGCGGAATCACTTTTCGGACTCGATTCCCTTGTATCGCTGCTGTGCGCATGTGTAGTAGTGTTTGATTGGCGAGCTACGATTCTGTGACATCTGCAGTCACGTGACTCTGGTTTCCCTTCTTTCTTGTGTTTCACTCGTCTGTTCTGAAACCAGATCTTCACCTGTTTCTCGGACAGATTTAAGTAAGTGGCAATCTCAATTCTACGCAGGCGCGACAGGTACATGTTCGAAGCGAATTCTCGTTCCAATTCCAGTAACTGCGTACTCGTGAAAGCCGTTCTGATTCTTTTGCAACTTGTAAGGTTGTCTGAGTTTGCTTCAACGTCTAGAAAACGAAAATATATAAAAGAAATAAAATACGTTATTATGACATATTTAATAATTAATTTCGAGATACACTATCACCAACACTCAGATCGAATGTTACACTCGTCAGTAAGCAATGATTTGGTATCTATTTTGGTTCACATAACGTTTTTTTATGAAAGTTTGAGTTGTTCTCTGGTGGAATCATTAACACCGTTAACCTGATTAGGTGTACAGAATGGTGTTAATGATACAGGAAGAACAAGCAAATTGTAACTGAGAGACAGGTTGAGGCAACATATGGCATTTTCGATCAGCAGTTTTACCCGCTAGCCGTTAGACTGCGTCTCCACCCCGATTAGACAGCAAGTGTACTACCCGCTGTTGTGAAACACAAACAAACAAATAAATAAATAAATAAATGATTTATTTCTCTAGGCCGGGAAATATCTGATATGATACAACATATGTGAAATTATGTACTATCGCGTGGTCAAAGTAAAGAATAGTTAAAACAGAATCAATAAAATGTTTTCAACGTTTTTTTTTTTCTTTTGAACAAAGTTTTCAATATGGCTGTCAAATCAATGAATTAATTCTCCACAACACATGGGCGGTGCGATCGTTTATGATATAATACCATGGACACATACAATTGTTTTTAAACTATAATTTTCATTATTGCCAACTATATTATTATAATTATTATTATCATCATCATATTGATTTATTATTATTATGTTGTTAGTATATTACATCGCTGTTATTTTTGTTGTTGTTGCTGTTATTGTTGTTGTTTCACTTTTCTGATGTTTTTTTCTCGTTAAAGTAGTATATTTGCTTCCACAATTTTATCTGAAAAGAAGCCTATGTAACAATTCTCACACAGGCGCCACACAGGTCTAAACTCACTCCCCCGATAAAAGCACGACTTTTTATTTTTAAAAATCAATTTTATGTTTACAATTTTTCTTCCACCGAAAGTGACAAATTAATCTCGTGCGACATTGATAATAACTGATAATTTGGACTGAGACTCAACGCACCTGTTTTTATCTAGGTGCAATCCTGTTATCAACAACAAACGAATGCATACTGCTTTACATCACTGGCAATTTCAACGACTTGTATTTAGAATCCCCCCGGCTTTAACATTGAACGACAAATTTTAAATCTTCTCTTGTTTTTAGCTCTTACTTAGTTCAGTCGCTAAGTAGCTTGTATTTGCGTAATTAGATGGATTATGTGTCTGATCTCGATGTTATAATCATAACAATGATATAGCTAAGATATTATGTATGATGGTGTAATGACAATATAACAAATAAATAATGTACGATAGTGTAACGACGATATCATGTACGATAGTGTAACGACGATATCATGTACGATAGTGTAAAGACGATATCATGTAAGACGATGTAAAGACGATATCATGTACGATGATGTACCGACGATATCATGTACGATAGTGTAACGACGATATAATGTACGATAGTGTAACGACGATATAATGTACAATAGTGTAACGACGATATTATTTAAGACGATGTAATGACGATATCATGTGTGGTGGTGTACCGACGATATCATGTACGATGGTGTAATGATGATATCATGTACGATTTGGTAACGACGATATATTAACGATATCATTTACGACAGTGCAAGGACGATATCATGTACGATGGCATATTGAGAATATAATGTCAATGGCGACGACGACGCAAATTTACGTTGTTGTAAGACGATATCATGTAAGATTTGGTAACGACGATATATTAACGATATCATGTACGAAAGTGCAATGACGATATCATGTACGATGGTATATTGAGGATATAATGTCAATGGCGACGACGACGCAATTTACGTTGTTGTAAGACAATACCACGTGCGATGGTGTAACGACGATATAACAAAACTATAATGTACGATAGTGTAATGACGATATCATGTACGATGGTATAACCACGGTATCATATGTGTTGGCTTAACTACGATACCATCTGCAATGTTGTAACGGCGATGGAACGACGAAAATATAGTGTGCGATGATTTAAGGACGATATTGAGCATGACAGGTAAACGATGATATAAGTGAGCAAAGCTACGATTAATGTTATGGATTTAGGAAATAAGTATTTTAAAATGTTTTCAATTCATTCCATGACGTCTGGCTGTCCTAATAACCAGTTGTTGGCAGAAACATTCTGTCCGAGAAAAAGCGAGCCACCTAAGGTGGGCCAGAGAAAGGGAACAAAATCATGTCCGACACATTCAATATTGTACCCAAAGAACGCAAGGGCGTATAACGAGATTAATGTGGAGACAAAAAGGCCCATATAATTAACTTCTTAGGATAAAAGAAAACAGTTGCTGTGTTTGTATTAGTAAAGCCTTTAAATTTAGGTGACATCAAAATCGCTGCGAACTCCATACATACGATTTGTCAAGGTCTTATCCAAAATACGTTATTGTTCACTATATATAATGAGTGCTTCAGCTACACCTCGCAGAGAAAGAAAAAAAAACATCGTGCTTTCCAACATGTGTATTGTCCTTGCGCAATGGCACCTGTTGAAATGCTTCCTGTTGCAAGTGAGTTGTTAATCAGAAATAAAATATAATAACTTACGCATTGGCAAACATTGTATTCTACGGGGATCCACTGGAAATCTGAATGCTGTTGCTGGAGTGGTAGTTGCGTGCCTGGGTAAACTTGGAGAGAAACCTAGTGCTGGGTGACGTAGATCACGGTGGTGTTCCAGGTACGGAGAAGTGATGGAGTGTGACATGACTGTTGTAGCTGACGATGGTGGTTTGAAGATAGGTGCCGTGGTCGTAACCATCGGGCTAATCGTACTGCAGGTCGTGATGGGTTCAGCACGGACGCAGAGCGGACATATGCCGTTGACCGACGAGTCAGATTTCCCGGGGTACGGGTTCGTGCAGTGAACCAAACTGGCGTCAGTGCCGTGTGAGTGGTGGTGGCCCATGGGTAAGGCATGGTGGTCTCCTTCGACGGCGTGTCTCGGGGATGGCTTGTTTAAGATCAAAGAATCTACGTAAAATGATCTTGACATGATACTGGCCAAATTATCGCAATAAGTTTTGAAAAAATGTTCAGAAAAATTTGCCTTCCTCCTCTGATCACTTGTGGATTGAATATCTCCACTTTCTGGTACCTGTAAGCGGAGGTTGCACAAAGTTACTTGTATCGTAGAAATGAATAGCTTGGAACCGGAATCCGTATCTTTTATAGCGAGTGAAAATCTCACGTGCTCAACTATTGGCCTCCGCAACCCCCAAGTGCTAATCGTTCCTACATAGCTATTTGCATCTGATTATCATTATTCTGATTGTCCCGATCCGGTCCCAGCGAACGTCATCGTAGGCATTCAGTCTTTTCAATGACGGGTTTTGATTGGCTTTTATCACTGCGTCAGAGTATTGTCTAATAAATGTTCGCTATGTAATGTTATGCTTATGGGGCTGGACTGACGGGGTGTATTCATTGACGGACAGGCGTGTGCCAGCCACGCGAGACAGTGGAACGGTGCAACATCAACGAAATTGCACAAATTCAAATATAAATATTAATAAATAGACATCAAAGTGAGAAACTCACAATTGCATGCTCTTTTAATTACCCATTTCCAATAGTAATGATTTTAATGGATTTTCATATGAACTGAAATTAACTAAAAACAGAATAAACGCACTCAACAGTCACGTCAGACAGAAACAAAAACCTGCGTGAAGCGTAATTGTAAACACCGTTTGCGATGGGATGGTAGTTTTCTCACGAAGTAAGTCAACTCTCGCCTCATCATGATAGGGTTAAAAAGAGTCACCGATTTGGGGCTAACAATTTCACGGCCCATCGAATTCAATGATACCTGAAGAGTGTCGAATAGGAAAGCCGTGTTACGACCGCAACTATATATCAACACACGCACACATATATATATACCAACTCACAAGCAGCAAAATATGGCCGTCCAAACGATAGTATCATTATACGAACACACGTCGCCCCCCTCGCCATGAATTAATCGTACTCGCCAAGGTTTGATTCGTTTTATTGCTTACTGTAGCCAATTCGTATGTGTTGTGTATTACCCGCCTCCAAAAAAGTACAGAGTCTGTTATGGAATTGATATCAATAGTCTGTGTTATACCATCTGTTGGGCATTTGTAGCAGAGATACTCTTCAGTGACAGTCACACAATATATCTACTCCAGAAAACTAAGTCTCACAACCCAACATTTGCCCGGTGCGTGCCCATTGCTGTTCACACGCGTTTCCTGTCAGTTTCTGTTGAAACGCGTATTTATTTTCTGAACTGGGTAACTTTTAACATTACCAAGTCAAGTCAAGTGAGTCGAATAGAATGACGCATGTACCGCCGCGACTCATACTCCGACCCCATATGGTATCGCCACCCCTTTTCTTTAGATCATTCTAATAAAACATCACTAACTTTAGGATAGGAAGCCACTTTTCACCTGGTTAAACACGCGCTTCTATATCGATTGCAACTCTCAGGATGACCGTGAAGATGAAATGAACACCATATTGTATCTGTCCATTGGCGTATGTAGTCCAGTCGCTGTGAACGCTTAGGCTAATGCATTTACAAACCAACGAGGCGTTGTATGCTTTTCAAAGAACTAAGGGAGATTTGGGCGATGAACCATGCTTGAAGTAGTTTCGAAAGTAGCTTAATAACAGCTTTATCCCTTCTTTTTCTTCAATTTAGCGGATCATAAGGGGCAAGACCAATAGATGGCATTGTTCTGGCCAGGTTGCGTCGGTCATATTGTTCTGTTTCTTCGAAGGGAGAAGCAGGGTACAACGATATTGCAGGACGACCGTATTAATCTAATAGCGGGGTATCAAACCCAATCTCCGTCATTACCTTAAAAAGAGACAAGCTGCCATTTCAAACATTCGACCCAGAATAAAACATACTCAGCTAATTTGATAAAAATAAGAGTATTATTATTACTAATAACGACAATCTGTGCGTGAACTAAGCGATTTGATAAATTATGCCCCTTCAAAATAACGTATAACATTTTCACTTGCGCTGTTCCGATGAGAATTAACACTATTAGACACACTTAGTCCGAAAATAATTTGAAATGACATAAGCCTCTATTTCCTTTGTGACTAATGGTTACTGTTTACGCTAATCCGACAAGGATTTGTAGGTTTATTGTTTATATGAAAAAACACGTCTTGTTTCAAGGACAAGTTCGTTTTGATCCAGGAATACCAGGCCCCCAACCAGGAAGTACGCGGCCGAGATACACAATGCGCACTGATTTTCGAAAACAACTGACTTGTGTGTTCAACAATAACGTCGTGATTTAAGACTTCCCATCGAAAACTATATGTCTTTTCTAGTTTGACGCTATTTTTACTGGATAACGGAAGGAAATTTCTTTTCGGCTTTTGTTTTTTTTCTAAGTGATGTAACAAACCATGACACGTATTTTTTATATTTATTTTATTGAACTGCAGCCAACAAAACCCCCAATTATAGGCCTGAGAATAACAAAATAATTGCACAAATACAGATATATGACATTAAAAACAAAAACAAAAAATACTTTCTAAAAAAATGAAGCTACAAGGTGTAACAAATATTGTCGTGTTCTGCCTAGTTTAAACACACACACATATACACTTGTCTGCACTTTTCTGTAATTCCGAAAAATACATTTATTATGTGCTTGAAATTAGTAATGTTTTATTAAATATATCAAGGGAAGACACTTTTATTTACGATCAGTCTCACGACCATGGTTCAAATAAATAATCATGTTCGGGCCATGATTGTATGTGTGGATTAGCCTAATGAATTCATAAATTCAGGCATATAGGAAAATTGAACGGATATCAAAATTATATTTATTTAATAACCATAATTATTAAAACATACAAACTACGCACTATACCATCTCGTCGTGGATAACATTATCAGTGGTAATGATATAGGACCCATTACACATATGTAACAGAAAACGAATTTAGACTTAACGCGAATCAGTTGAAATTGAAAATAGGTTCTCTGAGACCAAAATTAGATCGGGAGATTGAATATGAAAAATAACTGTTTTAGAGTACGTAATACAACCTTATTTGAAATATGTTATCCGAAAATCAAAAACTCTTACAACGAAATTGTGTTTTGGAAATTTGAAGGCCTTACGACGCGATAGGTATAAACACGCTCATCTACGGAAAAAACACAAATCAGCCAGCACTGACGCGGTGACGAGCGAGACTGGGATTAAGGGTTTTATACAATTCCCTTTAATAGTAGTTATAACACAATCTATCACGTACTACCTTACACCATGACAGTATATGTGATTCGTTAGTCGCGGTTATACGACTCGTCAGCGACGGCTACTAGGACGGGTGGAAATTAAACTATTTTATAACATGGTGTTTTCACGATCTTTTCAGTCCTTTCGTTTTCTTGAATAAAAATTTGAAAAGCAGCAATTTTACGGTCAATCGATAAATTTTATCGCCACTTACGCACCTCTCTGTTTGTCACTGGTCAAAAGTGTATGGTGAAGGCCATTATATTTTCACAGCCTTCGGTGAGGTGATTTTCACCGGTTAAAAACAAAACAAAAAAACTTCGGAACACTGAGTAATTTTATGGTCAATTGATAAATTACACGATTTCGATGAGTTGTCGGTGGTAATTAGGCCTAGATTTATCGCCAGTTACACCACTCCGTTTGAACTGGATAAAAATCACAACGAGAGCGTACGTCGGCAACGCGTGCAGCGGATATTCGATAGCGCCTTTCCCAAGTGTAATGATTAGTGGCTAATCAGTTACGCTGCAACTCGCGACCTAATAGTCGCATTTCCCGTTCAAGGTTTCAAGCGATGTACAATTTATCACACGTGGATGCGAAATTGAAGATATTACGGCTTATTTTTGTATACTATAATATACACGTGGACATTTCATTAAAATGGGCTGCATGGCTCCAACACTGACCGTTACGCTTAAAGGTAATTGAATACATACAAATACAAACACATTTGTTTGAAAGAACGTGTATGCGACGGCCCACTGCGTAAATCGGTGGAGTTGCTGAATACGAGAGTCGATCAAGACTCTGTGGCAGTGGCAGTCATCGGCAATAAAACTACAATTGTTAACACATGCATTTGGGACAACAATTCACCCGTGACAGTAAGTAGTTTTTTTTTGAGTGTGGCCTTAATTAATAACGGCAAGGTCACTGGTCAGCTGGGCCAGTGACTTCGACACTGGCCGCGGTACAGAGACTATAAACACCCGAAAATGTTAGGCATCTGATCTCATCAAGGAAATCATACATACAGGACCTGTTGATATTCACAATGACAAATTACAGCTCACTTGTTTTACAGCAATACGTCGCTCCCCGTTTCCTGCCTCGCTACCTCACAGGTGTTCTTCGACTAGGACGCAGGTGTATCGAACAATAGACATTCAACGATTGCTCAAATATTATTTAATGTCGAACGTTTCATTAATTAGATATGATAACATCTCTTCTTTTTTTTCTCGCCCAAAGTAATGTGTTGGTCTTTTTTCAAGGTCGTTTTTTTTATTTTCCTTGTTGTACCTCCAGTTCGCTGTTCCACCAGTTTTAGTTTTGTTTTATTTTAACAGCATATTTTGACATTACTCGTTATAAAAACATGCAAACATAATTTCACAGCTTCTCTTGTCAGTTAATTATGGTTTTACAACAGCCACCCACCCGCAAGCCTGAGTGTACATAAAACACGATATGCGACGTATGACCGATAATGACAATGTGCTTACACCCGTGTAACATAATGATTTTTACGAGTCTCGTTTCGTATTGAAAACGCCGCTGTATTAGACTCACATCTACAACGCGTTTTCGCCTGGAGTCATTGCAGAAACCGGAAAACGACTGCACGGCGTGGGAAAACATTTAATATTAGCACATAGTATAGAGCTTATTATGTACAGTTATAATGTTTTTGTTAATTGATACAAGAGGCAATTAAAATAGACTTATTCTTGTTTTAGGATTGTTACGCGTTTTGTTCAATATGTTCAAAAATAGAATGGAAAGAGGCAGTTGCATTGATTACAATGTTACG